AACAAAGGAGAGATCGTGTCTTGTAAAACTGAGGTACTGCAAGCTACCAACAACACTCCGATAGAGACCAGGATCGGAGAAACGTGGAGAATGAGACGAAGCAGCCTGCTGAAGTATGTCGGCTGTGACAGGTGTAGAGATGGCATTTGAAGACGCCATCTTTGCACGGTCTAGAATATCCAAAATAAATTTACGCTGACTGAGAATAATGCCAGTGTCAGTGCGATGAACCTCAATGCACAGAAAGTAAGATAGAGGCCCCAATTCCCGAAGTGCAAAATTATCATGAAGAAAAGCCATGAGCCGTTGAATAAGGGCAGTATCATTGCCCGTGATGACGATGTCGTCGACATACACAAGCATGTAAAGGCGCACAGAGTCTGACTTGTAGATAAAGAGGGAGGGATCTGTGCGAGATACCGAGAATCCAAAGCGGAGCATAGCATTAGCAAGACAGTGAAACCATGTGCGAGGAGCCTGGTGGAGACCGTAAATGGATTTGCGCAACCTGCACACATGATCAGGTTTGTCCGGATCAACAAAGCCTGGAGGTTGCTGCATGTAGACCGTTTCCTGTAATTCACCATGGAGAAAAGCATTAGCAATGTCAATATGATGAAGTGGCCATGCTTGAGTCACCGCGAGACCCATAACAAGTCGTAACGTGGCCGGCTTAAGAACGGGACTGTAGGTCTGGTGAAAATCCAGGCCAGGAATTTGATGAAATCCCCTAGCCACCAAACACGCCTTGTGCCGATCGAGAGAACAGTCGGGATGGATTTTTGTGCACCAAACCCATTTATTGGTGAGAATGTTGCAGTCGGGTGGGGGAGGAACCAATTCCTAGGTTTGATTTCGGAGCTGAGCAGAGACTTCTTCGGCCATGGTCGCGCGCCAGTGCGGGAGCTTGAGGGCTTGAGCAACCGAGGTGGGAGTATCATTTTTGGGAAGGTGGTGTAGCAAGGTTTTGGGCTTCAGATTACCTGTTTTAATTCGAGTGACCATGGGGTGAGAGGAGGAAGTAGGATTGGTAATAATCAGAGGACGAGGCGAGGTGGTAAAGGGTGGGCGAGAGGGAAGCGGACGACGAGGAGGCATGGGAGTGTGTTTGGGTCTCGACGGTGGATGCTGGGGAGGAGGAACATGAGCAGTAGATGGGGATAAGGCTGGAGAGGAAGAGTGGATGGGGCTGTTGGGATGGGATATGTGAGAGGGAGAGGCAGGGGAGGTGAGATGGGCCGAGGGATGGTGCGGAGATGTATGGGAAGGAGAAGTGGGGCCGCTAATAAGAGGTGGGCTAGGGGAAGGGTGTGAGGTTGGGCTTGGGCTGGGAGATGGGGAGGAAGTGGGCTAGAGGGAGGGGACCGTTGGAAGGGTGGGTGGTGGGAAAGGTAGAGTGATAGGAAAGGCAATGGACGAGGTAGATGAGAGAAGAGATGAGAGTGAATTAGGAACTTCTGTAAATGGAAAATGAGACTCATCAAATAATACATGACGACTTATATATATGCGACCAGTATCAACATGCAGGCAACGATATCCCTTATGAAGCTTACTATATCCCAAGAAGACACAAGGAACAGAACGAGGTTCGAGTTTAGAAGTGGCATAAGGACGGAGCCATGGATAGCAGAGACAACCAAAAACACGAAGATTGGCTAGATCAGGAGGACGATGGAATAAGGCATGAAAGGGGGAGCAATTTTGGAGGAGCAGAGTGGGAGTGCGATTTATGAGGTAACACGCGGTATCAAACGCAAGGGGCCAGTACTTTTGAGGAACATTAGAATGGTGTAGAAGAGCAAGACCATTGTTCACGATATGAGAATGCTTGCGTTCAGCACACCCATTTTGTTCAGGTGTGTAGGGACAATAAGAACGATGGGCAATACCATGGTTGCTTAAGTAGGAAGATAGAGCTTGATATTCACCGCCGCAATCAGACTGAAAGGTTTTAATGGGAGTGCCAAAATACTTTTCAACCAATTGCCGAAATTGAATGAAAACACTAAGCAGTTGTGATTTATATCGAATAAAATAAATCCAGGAAAATTTGCTGTAGTGATCATAGAAGAGAATGTAGTAAGATTGATCATCATAAGATAGAACAGGAGCAGGGCCCCAAACATCACTGCAAACAAGTTCTAATGGAGCAGACGCTTGAAAAGTAGAAGAGACAAAAGGTAATTTGTGAATTTTACTGACAACACAACCATGACATAATGACGATTGAGAGGGAAGGAATTTTATGTGATGTTGACGAAGAGCTTGCTTGACTACACGATCATGAGCGTGCCCAAGGCGACGATGCAACACATCCTACGTAGCAGTGCAAGCAAGAGGCGGTAGATGGCGAAAAATATGAAGGGGAAGTGAGTAGAGACCAACCACCGCATAACCACGATAAATCTCATTCGTCGTGCGTCGATCCTTAATGACAAAGAGAGAGTCAAATAATTTGATGGAAATGGGATTAGGTGTAAGAGCACTAATGGACTTCACTCTGTCTCTTGGTTTTGGCGCAATGCCCACGCAAGCGAAGATAAGAACAAGCGGAAGGAGAGGAACTTGCCCAGATTTACAACACCGTTATGGATCTGCCACCGTCTCTCGCTATTGCATCTTCGCCTTCCCGGTCTCTACCTCGTCGCAATCACCATCGTCCAGCGACAAGCCGCCATCGTCGGCCTGCCACGTAGGGTCCTACTCCATCATCGTCTGTCGCCTCAGTTCTGCCGCTGCACCATCAAACTTCGCTGCCGGTTGCTCTGTGTGTCTCGGAAGAGAAGAAAACCAGGGAAAGTAGTGGAAATCTTCTCCGTCTATCCCCTCTCAAGAAAAGTCAGATGAGGTATAATTTATTTTTTTATTTTTAATGTTTTAAATTGCTAAATCACACATTTAACAGTCCAGTCAGCAGTTCCGTTTGCCACGTCAGCACAAAACTGACAGAGTTAACGGAGATAGATGGCTGGTGACCAAACGTGAAACGATTTGTAAAGTTAGTGGCGAATACGAAAGGAAAGTAATTTGGGTGGCAAAAGTGAAAGATTTATGTCATTTGAGTGACCAAACGTGTATTTTAGCCAAGAGAATTTATTTTGCAAAATTATATGTAAATTTTGTCAGAATAGAGATGGAACATGTTCAATAGTGATGAGGGATATCGCAGATTATATGAGAATATATGGGGTGTTGTGACGTTTTCTTTTCTTTCACGACTTTTCCCTCTTCTTTCGTCGATTGTCTTGGTATTCTAAGGTCAAATGAGCGGATGTAATTTGCCACATCAATAACTCCACGATTTCTTGTTTTGTTATAGATTGATTGAATTAAGAGAATAAGTGATACCTCTATAAAAAATGTCATTTCGAAATGTTAAGGACTTGTTTGCTTGATGGATTTGGTGAGAGATTTGGATTTGTCCAAAATTCATTGTTTGCTTCATGCATTTAGACCATCCACTATGATTGGGTGGGTTGGGGGGGGGGGGGAATTTGGGTTTTATAGGTTTGAGGGTGGGGAAACCCACAATGGGTTGGGAGGGAAAATAGGGAAATGTGGGAGGGGTGTTTTTTGATGAATTTGATTTGGTGTTGATTTTGTCACTTTAGTTAAATAATTTGATTGTTCTTTTTATATAGGTAGTAGTAATTAATTAAGATTAAAATATCGATTTATTTTTTTAATTTGGACATAACTTTTTCGTCATTAATTAAAATATAGTCGTTTATGACTGTTGAAAAATACAGTCATTGTAAAATATGTCTGTTGGAATTCAATTTTGATCGTTAGATCGCACTGAAAGCGATCTATGATTTAAAAAAATCCAAACTAAAACGCAAGAGAAAAACTAAAAGTAAAAAGCAACTTTAGCACGTGGGCCCCGCCAGTCCACTCTCCCTCCTCTTTTTGTCCTGTTGTGGGGGGAACTCACCCAAAACCACCCAAAAAAACCCTTCTTTCCCTCTTTTTCAACCATCACTGTAAGCCCCATTTGCAAAAGATCCTTCTTTTCCTTCTTCCCACCCCCATAGTGGGTGGTCTTAGGAGCAACAAATTCGTGAGTCCCACGAACTTTAAGGTCCCAAATCCATGGACCCCACGGACTTGAAAGTTCCACCTATTTAGGTGATAATTGATCATGGACTTTGAAGTCCATCATTTAAGACGAAACTATCCCTCCGATTTCATTTCTCTTCTCATACCAATGAGGGCAATAAAGGTAAATTTCACTTCATACATACAAATCTAATTAACCAATCCGTCATGAAATCTACGAAACAAACAATGGTATTTTTCAAGTCTATGATGAACCAAAAATCCTCATATATCCATGGTTTTACACAACTCAAGTTTTACCAAAACCTTCATTTTTCAAATCCACGAAGCAAACAACCCCTTAAGACATTTTGCAAAAGAATTCATTCATACTCTTAAGAAAGTACAACATTATAATCCATTCTATATGGTTGTAAATTTGGTATCGATATTTGGGATATCGTATATCGTATCAAAATTTTTGGGACTTGGTATTATCAAAATCCGAATAATGTTTTGGGATTAAAGATTGATTTTGAAGTGCATTAGATATTCCATTTTTATATATACATTGAAATAACAAAAAATTCAAAAATTTGAACATAATCTTATATTCATGAGTCACAATCCTATTTAACAAAGTTACTAAACTATATAACATGGTTCACGACTTACTCATGTATTACATAACTCATTTGACAAATTTCTTATTGTACATAATTACTAAATTATACCAATATTATTTAATTTTATAACATCATAATACAAAATAATTTAATACCTATAAAAATATTGTCATAACACACATATCAAATTATAAAAAAAAACCTCAAAGCTACTATATATCATGGAACATCGACTTGGCAAAAAAACTAGTAGAAAAACCTTAGCACAAGTAGCAACGTCTCTCTGGCAGACCACATGCCGGAGCTCACGTGCACAAGGCGGAGAGCGCGCGCTTTCCACCATCATTCTCCCTTAAACGACGCCGCATCTTCTCCTTTCGGACAACGCAGCGAATCCGAGGATTTTACTACAAAACAAAAACATGAAACTAAATAGAAAAAAAAAAATTATAGAAAAAACTAAATAAAAAAGTACGCAATAATAATATCGTACGTCGTTTTCTCCAATCTTACAGCCAAAAATTATTCCCCAAGAAAATTTTTTCTCTGAGAACAAACAATCTCTTCCTCCTTAACCTTTCTCTTTCTCACTCGCTATCTACATCACAAAGCTCCCTGCTTCACAACTTTCCCTACTTCCACACATCATCACGGCCCACTTCACTGCTCTGTTCAGTCTTCTGACTCTCCCTCTAAAGCTCTGATCTTTTGGGTCTTCCCTTTTTGGGCGTTGGGTCAATGGCTGATTGTGCCTGGCAGCAGCAATGAAGGTCACCACCGGGAAACCGCATTCGTCGGCGACGGCGGCGCTAGTGGGGGCTTCAATCCTTACTTCCAAGGCGTTTAATCAGAGCCCACGTCAGCAAAATCCAGATTCAGATCTCGTCAGGCCGCCACGGCGCAGGACCCGGAGCCTCACCCGGTTGAAGCGGGTCGCCCCTTCTGTCGGGCGGCGGAGCAGACCCGAGACGCCCCTGTTGAAATGGAAGGTCGAGGAGAGCGGAGAGAGAAAAAATGGTGGTGGGGCTAAGGGGGATGGGGAGGATATTGCTGTGGCTGCGGATGAGGGTGAGGAGAAGCAGGGGAATGGTAAAGAGGAGGGTAGGAGAAGGAGGTGCAAGAGAAGCAGTGGGAGTTCTGTTTCTGCCAGGAAGCTAGCTGCTGGGTTGTGGAGGTTGCAGACGCCAGAGACGGCGGTTGGCGGCGGCGGCGTAGGGGAGCGGAGAAGGAGGGATGGGTTGGGATTTCAGGTAAGATTGTCAATGTGATTCCTTCTTTTTTTGTTTCCTTGATTTTTGTGGCGTTATTATGTTGGAGGAATTTTGGAGTGATTTGAGTTTTTGGGCGTATTAAAGCTGGGGAATGATTCGATGAGATTTGGAGTAAATGAGTGCAAATTGTTGAATAATGCATTACGGTTTGTAGCTGTGTTTGTGATTAGCTTAGTTCTCAAGCTTTAGTCATTGACTTCTTTTGTGGTGAAGATTCTTGTGGTGCTCTGATATTGGTGATTCCTATAATTGATTGCTCTCATCTAAAAGGTTGAAGACTTTATGATGCTATCTAAAAGAGCAATTGATTTGTCTCTGTTGTCATTTACTTTTGTGGGTTTCTGTGATGAAAATAGTTCTGCTGATAGGATCCCATTGATTCATTGATTATAATGTACTATGGTCTCCTCGTCAGGCTTTATTACTGAAATGTGTATCCTTTTCCCCTTTCTATTATCTCCTCGTACTGGATCCAGACTGAGCATGCTGGAACTTGTTCAGTAATGCCATTCCGGTTTTTTTTTTTTTATAAGAAACACTGTGTCTGTGTGAAGGTTTTTCTGTTGACCTCGTCTCCAGGAGATCAGGAGTTTTGTGGTTAAGTTTTTGGCGGCTCACAGTCCATTTATTCTCACTCCGTGGATTCCTTCAATGTATTGATACTCTGAGCAGAGAACCATGTTGGATTGAACACGTGAATTCTCAAGGTTTTCTGATCTGCTTGTGTTTGTTGTCTCTTTTAGCCCCGGGCTGCTCATGCTGGCGTCTCTTTGGCACCCCATGGGACTGAGAAAGTTTATGGGTCTGAGTTGAAGGATCCATTGCACAGCGCGACTGCCGTATCTGCTATGAAGAACAGGTTCTTGTGTAAGGTATGTCTGTTCTGGAGGTTTCATAACTGAAAAAGTTAAATGTAGTGGTTTTCCCCCAACATTGATAACAGTGAGGCGTGAAGATGGGAAATGTTATCTTCTTGATCTCCTGCTCTCTCAAATGAGCATGATGTTGGATGATTTTCTTTCAACAGATTGATTTCATGCATCATAGAAGATTATCTGCAGAGAAGTCATGATCATTTGCTTCATTGTTATCCTGGAGTTATGATGGAAAAAATGGCTTGATGGTCAAATGAATTTTCTTTCAGCAATTCTTATTTTATACCACCATGAGATATAGTTCTTTTCCCTTTACATTTAGGAACACAATGTGAGTTTAATTCACGTAAATATACATGCACAACAAGTTAATCTAAACAGGTTAGTTAAGCAGAAGACACAATATCATCATTACTGGAGACACGTAGGAAGAAAGTATTGTAATAGGATATTAACAAGAACTTAATGCTGCTTAAGGCAATCTTCTTGTATTGTGTGACAACCAAGATTTCACTTCTCACATGCGTAATTAATTAACGCTTAAGACTGATATGTCAGAGCTTACCTATCTGAGGAAATTTAAATTTTTGTCTTCAGTTATTACCAATGACCTTGTCTTCTATCTGCCTAACTGTAGCTGTTTTTGGTTCTTCTTTGTTAGCTTGAACCTTCTTTCCAGTTCTCCAACTCTGCAATGGAGGGCAAAACCAAGTGGGATCCAGTATGCTTCGAAACACCGGATGAAGTACGCCAGATCTACAGCCACATGAACCGTCTTGATCAACAAGTTAGCGCTGTATCAGTGGTTTCCGCTCTCGAATCCGAGCTTGAGCAAGCTCGAGTACGCATCCATGAGCTGGAAACCGAACGAAGGTCCTCGAAAAAGAAACTCGAGCACTTCCTAAAGAAAGTTAGCGAGGAAAGAGCTACATGGAGGAGCAGAGAGCATGAGAAAATCCGCGCATTCATCGACGACATCAAGTCAGACCTAAGCCGCGAGAGGAAGAACCGGCAGAGATTGGAGATTTTGAACTCGAAGCTGGTTAACGAGCTGGCTGATGTAAAGGTATCCGGGAAGCGACTGATGCAAGACTATGAAAAGGAAAGAAAGGGTCGGGAATTGATCGAGGAAGTATGCGACGAGCTCGCTAAAGAAATTGGAGATGACAAAGCTGAAATCGAAGCGATAAAGAGGGAGTCGATGAAGCTGCGGGAAGAAGTTGATGATGAGAGGAAGATGCTGCAGATGGCCGAGGTTTGGCGTGAAGAACGTGTTCAAATGAAGCTGGTTGATGCAAAAGTGGCTCTCGAGGAGAAGTATTCTCAGATGAATAAGCTTGTATCAGATTTGGAAAGCTTTTTAAGGTCAAGAGGTGCTGCAATTTCAGAAGTTAGACAAGTGGAATCTCTAATGCAGGCTGCAGCCGCCACTAATATCGAAGAGGTGAAGGAATTCACGTATGTGCCCTCTAACCCGGACGATATATTCGATGTTCTTGAAGAATATAATTCTGGTGAGCCAAATGACGAGAGAGACATTGAGCAATGCACGACTGCTTTCAGTCCTGGTAGTCATTGCAATGGCTATGTGATTAATCAGAATGAGGAGATAGAAGAGGATGAAAGTGGGTGGGAGACGGTGAGCCATCTCGATGACCAAGGCTCGAGTTTCTCGCCAGATGGAAGTGTTCCATCTGTCAATAAGATTCACAGGGACAGCAATGTGTCAGAGAGCGGTACAGAATGGGAAGAAGAAAACATTTGCAAGGATACCCATATGGCAGAAGAAATCAGTGAGCTTTGTTCTTTGCCGAATAATAGGCAGGTTAAAAAGGCATCAGCAATTGCAAGGCTGTGGAAGTCAGGCAGTAATGGGGAGAACTACAAGATTATCTCAGTTGATGGAATGAATGGTAGGTTCTCTAATGGACGTAAATCAAGTGCAGGGATTGTTGTATCACCAGACAGGGGCTCAGGCAAAGATAGAGGAGGAAGTTTTAGCCCTTCTGACTTTGTGGGTCAATGGAGTTCATCACCCGAGTCGGGGAATCCCCACATAACTAGAGGAATGAAAGGATGTATCGAATGGCCGAGAGGCAGCGTGCAGAAGCACAGTTTGAAGTCGCAGCTATTGGAAGCAAGGATGCAGAGCCAGAAACTCCAACTGCGCCATGTACTGAAGCAGAAGATTTAGACGTTAAGGGATGCCCCGCCCACCCCCAAGCCAAAAAAATGCACTTGCTTGATCATGTACCAATTCCTGTAACAGTAAGAGCCTTATCAAGAGATTTATTCCTTTCTGGGGGCGTACGAGCCCTTCTTGTTGTAAATGCTCTAGAGGATAAACATTTAGCTTCATCGCATCTTGGACTAAGGTTTCTTTTGGTATACAAGTGGGAATTTCGTATTGCTTTCTGGGAAAACTCACTGTTTCGTCACACTGTTTCCTTGAAATGTATTAAAGAACACGAAGAACATCCAGTTGTGATGAAATCATGACTTCAGACCATTCAGCTACAACAGCTTTCCTTACCGCGAAAATTGAAAGAAATTTGTCTCGAAACAGAGCTCCACAGGTGTATATCAGTGGCTCCTTTGGAAATCTGTGTCATTTATATTCTTGGAAGTTGACATGCCCAGTAGCTTGTGCATGCTCCACATCTTCCTGAACATTGACATTTAAGTAAAAAACAATTGAGTTGACACAAGCTAAGCTCAGAGCCTTTAAAGAACAGAAAGAAATTGCATAGGACGGATTACCAAATCGAAGCACTGACCTTTTGACCAATAACACCGATCTGGCATACACCACACCTTAAGGTGAAGTTTGCAGTATCTGTATAGCTTCTCTTCCTGCCAAGTATGGAATGTTCTTGATCAGCAGGATGAAACCAGTCTCGGAAAGAAAGGAAACAGTTCTTCCCTTTATCAAAGTGCAGCAGATATAAGGCACTACCTTTGCTGATCCTTAACAAGATTAAGAGCAAGCCCCTCAACAGGCCCAACTGTCCTGTCCCTGTGGACTAGAAATATGGTCTGATCAAACTCCTCTGGAGCTTCCGCAACTGGTGACATCTGTTTATAAGAAAATCCACGAGAAGCAATCAATAAGGAGCCATGCATTTAAAGTCAGTATCTAGCTTTCTAGCTGCTCTGCGAAATCTGAAAATACTCAAAATCATCAGGTGGAAGCTGGAAAAGGAGACATACAGCTAAAGCATCATAGTGGAGACCATCATAGATAAGCATCACTCTTTCAGAGTACTTCTTGTCCTGTTAAGAGTAAAACAAAGGAGAGAAAAAGGTTACTATTTCTTCAAGGCTATTGACACTAGTTACCTGACCATATAAATCACATCGACTGGTTTGAATGTCATATGCTGCAATTTCCCGTCCATAATAATCGGCCAATATTGCAAGCTCGATGGCACCTTCACGTGAGAAGGAAGATAAGATATTTGAAAAAGTGATGATACTCTTGCTTGACAGGTAAGGAACAAGTACATGCAAGTTATATTTTCAAATGTTTTTGGTAGAAACAACTAACAATTAGGCATTGGATATGAAGAGGCTGGGCAGAAACTAACCCCTATTCAACCTAGTACGCGAACAAGTTATGGTTATAGCCCGTATAGGATATGCATGCAGCAAACCTTGAACTATCTATAAATGATCTGTGCACCAGTAATCAGAAATTGCTTTTATGTATTGTCACAGAACACGGCTCAATGTACAGTTTCTACAGAATGGAATCAGATGATTAGCATATTACGCAACTTTATAACACTTTCTACGGGTTCTTTTGTTCATGGAGATGGTTGGTTATATACTTCGCCTATTTTGAAATAAGCACATCGTACTCCAGGAAAATTGTAGAGGGCGTAAGCAGGACTGGTAAATGAAAGAGCTGATGAGGTATCCTCTCAATCAGCCTAAAGGAAACAAGCAAACATACCTCCCCACATGTAGAAACCTTCTTACATGCGCATACACCATCACGAGGTAGTTTATGCCAACTCAAAACCAACAAACAGTACTGTTTTATTCAAGTGAACATTCAAAGAAACAATTGAAGTGAAAAACGGAACACCGGAACAAAGCATGCATAAAGCAAAAGAGATCAGATGAGAACCTGTCTAAGCTCAGGAGCTTTATTTTTGTTATGGTCCATAACATATCTGCATGTGAAATTTTGTTCAAAAAGGATGAGAATTCCAACACGACAAACTAAGAATAGGATCCAATGTATGAGACAAACATATAGACCAGAAGAACTGTACCCAACGGCATTGAAGAGGCAAGAATTGTCCGACGGAATGACCCTTCTCACAACGGTTCCGTCCATTACCTAGCTAGCTACAATCTCTGCAAAATGCATGAACCACTTAGAAATAAAAAGAGGTTGCTTTATAAAACTAGGGAGTCGAAGTATCAAGAAACTCATGCCAATAGATTTGCAATTCAAATGGAGGCAGTAGGCTGAAAAGAAAAGGAAAAAAAAAAAAAACAGAACATGCTCAGAACTTTGCTTGCTGTAAAGTAAAGAAAGTTCAAAGCTTTTAGAGAATCCAGCCTCGGAAAATTGAACAATTCAAGAAGAGAAGAGAAAGATTGCGTGACAATAGCTAGAAAGATAAATAGCTCGAATGGTGAACGGCCGACGGCATGGCAATGGCATGGGAAACAACATAGAAAAGAATACAAATTTACATTTCCACCACCCAAGACATTCAAACCAACAGCACTACAGTTAACATGACACGAAAAGAAGAACTAAGCAAGAGTTCCAGAGAAGCACAAGCAAAAGGAGAAGCAAATTCAAGGTAAAGGCGACCAAACCCAGAAGCCTTTACAACAGGCAGAATCAAATGGCTAAAATATGCAGATCTATTCACCAGAAAAAGGACCCAGATAGCGAAAACCAGAGATTGATGGAGCAATCGAGAGAGACCCACCAGAGGAAGAGAGGGAGGCAGGGGGGCGGATGACTTGTTGGTTGCTCTTGCTTGACGAACGAAGAATTGCAAGAGATATATATATTTCGGCTCTTGGGTGTCTTGACTTGGTGTGCCGAATGTTTGAAATCTAAAATGAGTAAAATCTTTTTAGAAAGTTGCCAAATTCGGATGCCGCTCTCGCGTTTCATTTTCATTTTCTTTCTTACGGTATGTTCTTTGGTTCCAAAAACAATTAAGGGTCAAAATCATATTTCATTTCAAAGAAGTCTTTCCTATGGTTGTTTAATTGTTTTGTTGGTTAATAATTGTCATTATCTTATGTACCACTTATAACAATTTTGGTTCAAATGGTAGTAAATTTTTGTCGAGTTAAATGTGAAAGAAATTAGACAATGTTAAACGGGAAAAATCAATGATAAATAAAATCGGCAATAGCATCCATTGATCCGCTGTTCGTCAATAATAATATTTATTGATCAGTAGTTTAGTTTACCAGCTGATGGAAGCCAGATCCTGCTATTAACTAATGTCAGGAAACGCTTTGTTCAAGTTCCAGCTAATGACAAGAATTACTCTCGCCCAAAATATTGGGAGATGACTTGGCATGCAAACCACACATTCCAAGGTCTGCAAGGATCGCTACAAGGATCTTGTTCTCGGATTCAACAATGAGTTATCTTCATATGAACAAGTGGCTTTCCAGAAAGAGATACCAAAGGGTAATACATAATAATTAATAACCATATGTTAAGATGGAACCCAGTTAGACTAGTATGCGTTCTTCAATCGTAAGAGAAAGTTCGGCAAAATAGCTACACAAGGAACGGATTAAATTGTCAGATCCCATTTCAAACACCAAAAACGTGAACGCCGCAGATACCAAGCGTTATTACTTATTTCCATCACAGATTCAACTCTCACTGGGTGCATTACCATAAAATTCTTACAGGGAGGTCACCCTCTCTATTGAATTGCTACACGAAGGATATCGCGAGCAGAGTACTGCCACCAACTTACAAACTGGACAACAGTTGTGGACACACATATTCAAGAGGGTTACAACTGAAAATGCCTAATGATCAATTTTTCATCTATCGAGATCCCTTCCCATGCTTGCTTATTACTAACCTCGGTTTCCAAGACTACATTCAGGTTTGTTTTACCTAGACAGGTTGAGCTTCGATCTTCTGAGGAAGTTCAGCAATGCACTCGATTTCAATCCTGGCATTCAACGGCAATGCTGCTACCTGATACGTTGATCGAGCTGGGAATGGAGCAGGGAAATCTATAAACAGAAAGAGCAAATGGTCAGAAACATTTTCCCAACAATATGATATTTTTTCCCTTCTAAGTTTCCATTTAAGTTGTTGAAGGGTTTCTGTAAGTCAAAGGATGCATGCTTCATATGAGATGCCAATCCAAGTTCCATGCTAAAGAAATATAAACATATAACAGAAATAATGGACCTATTATCCAATATAGTGGGGTAAGGTGTTCCTACAGCAGGTATAGTGCTACTAACTACATAAGCAGTCACAAGGGCATCGTATGAAGTGCATGGAAATATATTTGTATCATCTACAGCACAAGCGCGTCCTACATTACTCCATACTTACATTTTGCATAGATCTCATTCACTTTCTTGAAGTCGGCCAAGTCAGCCAACCTGCACCGAACCCAAAGAACAAAAATACAGTAAAAAGCAAGAACTGAAAGAGAAGAAATGCCATCCACATATGAATTGTGGGAGATTCAAACACATGTAAGGGCAAACCAAAACAAAAGACAGAGGAAAAGTTTACATGATGGTTGTCTTGACTACCGAGGAATAGTCTCCGGCACTAGCTTTCAGAATTTCTCCCATGTTCTTGAGGACCTGGTAATGTCAGCCAGTGAAAGAATCAAACAACATAAGGCAACCACAAACATCCAACGTGGTACGTAGAACCAAATCTACAGCAAAAGGAGAGGCATCATTACCTGCTCTGTCTGATCCTCAACATTCTAGCAGAGGAAATGTAACGGACTAATAATATCATTACAAGCATTTCCAGGAAGTAAGGAATAAGAGAAGAATTCAAGCAATAAGTGAGGATAACATTGAAATGATACCTCTGGAATGAGACCCAAAACCCCAGAGACAAACACAAGGTTGTTGACTTTGATAGCTTGAGAATAAGGCCAAGAGCGGCCGGCGCCTTTTCAGTCTTGACAGCCTCTTTTTTGGCTGCAACAATGGGAAAACAAAACTGTTACAATCTCAAGCGACTGTGATATGAACCATGAGCAGCAGACACTGAAAGGGTGACACTTGGATAGTAAAATCAATCAAGAAAATAATTAAACTAAAAAGGGGAGAGATCGTTTTCGTCACTCTTCAACAACAAACGAAAAGCGGGAAGAGAGCACGGGATTAAAAGATAGGGTTCAGTTCAGTCGTGTTATGCCATTGGACGATCAATTAACGCGAAACCCTACAGGGAGAGAGAGAGTTACATACAGGGGAGAGTGAAGGTGGACATGGAAGCGAAAGGAGAGGAAGCGAGGCGGGAAGAGCGGCAGAGGGTGGTAGTGGAGCCGACGAAGACACTGGCGGCGGCGAATTGGGGACGACGGAGAGGGAGGTTGAGGAGTGCTGGGATTTGGAATGGCTTGAAAGCGATCGTCCAGCTTGACACTTTCGTCGGTCTAGCTCCTCCCTCTGGTTTATTTCCTCTTTCTCTCTCCCAGCAGATTTTCCGTTGGAGTAACTGAAGAAGAATTTGCAGCGACGAAAGCTAGAGCAGCAGCACTCCGACGTTTGGATTCAAAGTCTGCATTTTTCTTATTAATTAATCATTAATGTTGGGCTTTTTTTTGGGCCCGATTACGAGCTTTGTCGTTTTGGTTGTAGTTGGTGACTGTGAGAGAGAAGAGGGAGAGAAGGAGAAGGTAGTTGGCACTGGCACGCTAAACAGTTTTTCACACGTTGATAGACCGTTATTTACACATGTTTTTGCCCCTGTTCTTACACCGTTTGAGGTATTGATTCTCGTGTTTTAGGCCGATTTCACGCTAGGTTGTGCTTGATTGTGATATTTCAGGTCCTAGTACGGGAATGAAGGCTTGGGAGCGAGTCTAGGGTCGGTTGGACGAAGTTCGGACGAATGGCGAGGTTTCAAGGAGGTTGCACGGCCAGACCAGGGATTCGCACGACCGTGCATGTGAGCAAGATGGCCGTGCGGAATTCTGCGAGAGCATGCACGAGCAGACCATGAAACTCGCACGGCCGTGCAACATGCAATCCAGGCCGTGCGCTTTTTGCCGAGGCCACGCACGGGCAACCCCTAAAACTCGCACGGCCGTGCAACGTGCAACCCTGGCCGTGCGAGATGGCTGAAGGTCGATTAATTGATGCGCCGCGTTTTGAGCCGCACGGCCAAAGTGGTGATATGCACGGCCGTTCGTCCTGGCCGTGCGAGTCGGGAAATTCTAGTTTTTAAGCGGATTCCGAGCCAAACAGAGGGGGATTCGAGTTTTGGAGAGACAGAGCGATTCCTAGAGAGAGAAAGCGACGAACAAGAGTCTCCAAGTGCCCTAGATCGATCTTCAACACCATTGGAGCTTGGTTTGAGCTTGGAGAAGTGTCGATTCAACGTCCAGGAGCAGAAATCCATCTTCACAGTATGATTTCCGCGTCTGATTCTGCTTTTGCTTCTTTCTCCATGGAGTAGTTCTCCCATTCATCTGGGTGTGGGAAACCCTAGTTCTGTATGTTGGGATTGATTGTATGAACCCAAGTACTGTTTCTATGAATTGATTATATTCGATTGAGGTTTGAATGATTGAATGGCATGAATCATGATCAAATTCCTGTTGTTCCTGCTTTAACCTAGAATGAGAATATCTGCCTAGGTTAATAGAGTATCCTTAATTGAAGGTAGTGAATTGGTGACTTTAGTCGAGGAGCCAATTCACTATTCTGTACGAATTCAATTCTGTAGTGGAGGTTTTGTTCATAGGGCCTCAATCTGTTTACTCCGGTGGAGGTTAGTCGCCCGCTAGAGACTCAGATTGAGAGGGTCTGAAGACCTTTAGTCGAGACTTCAGGCTGATTGAGAACCTTCCGCAGTATAACTATCATAGAAATTGAACTTGGTAATTACAATCCGGCTTAACTGCAGACTAGGGGGAACCATATCTGGGTGACCTCTCTTAACCTGAAAACAACCGTTTAGTTGCTTTGCTTGCTTGTTAGTTTAGACCTTCACTAAAGTTTCATCGCTAGATAATACGAATTCACTGAGTAGTCATCATATCTAGGACCCGGTTTGACATTGAAACCCAAACCCGCTATACTACGCTTTAGGAAGTGGTTACACTTGGCCATTTTCTAGAGTGACAGTAGGAGTGAGGCAAGTTTTTGGCGCCGTTGCCGGGGACGGCTAGGTTGTTGAAGAAAAGTGATTTCTGTTACTTTAGCATTTTCATTTTTGCATTGAGTTTTTGTTTTTCCCACTTGTGCCTTCACGGGTTTGCATTGCGTGAGTGTGTGCAGGTAGTGCATGACCCGTAGCCAGTCAGGAGGTTTACTGTCGTTGGATCCAGAGCTTGAACGCACTTGCCGCCAACTTAGGAGACAGCAGCGAGCTAGACTGGTTACGGGAGAGCGCATAGACGGCCACTTGACCAGCGATTCTGAGGAAGAGTACGAGATGGAGGGCGAAGACATCCCACAACCGGGGAATGCTCGACAGGCTCCCCCGGTGAATCAGCATCCACCACCACCGCCGGGTCCCACCATGGTGTGCATGCCATGGAGGCCAGATCCAGGTTAGAGCAGCAGGTGGCTGAGTTGGTGCAGACACTGAAGCAGCCCAACAGTCTCCTTCCGGGCCGAGGTGTAGCTACGCCTCCAGTAGCTCAGTGTCAGTGGTGTGAGAGCCCGAATCACCGGGTGGAGGACAGTCAGGCTATGAGGGAGTCCTCCACACCCCAAGAGCAGGTGGATTTCATTGCTAATGCTCGGCGCCTGGACCCATACAACAACACCTACAATGAAGGATGGCGCCAGCATCCCAACTTCGCCTGGAGCAGCAACAACACTAAACCCCCTGGTTTCCCAGCACCAGCGGGGGGTTTTCAGCAGAGGCAGCCCTTTCAGGCTAGGCAGGGGCCACCCCCTCAATAGCAGCCCTACCAGCCTAGGCAAGGGCAGCCATTCCAGCAGCCCCAGGGCCAGTTTGCTCAGCCTCCAGCAGCAGCAGCCCCCGATAATCAGATGGCTGATCTGAAAAATATTTTGGCGACATTCATGACCACCAGTCAGGCGAATTTCACGAGGATGGATCAGACCATAGCTTCACTGGAGGCAGGCCAGAGAACACTGGAGGCAGGCCAGAGAAACCAAGGTGCCATTATGCAAGATCTACAGCACCAAGTCGGTGCCATAGCACGCCAGCTTACTGCTCGGGCCCCGGGGACGCTACCTGCCACCACCATCCCCAATCCACGGGACCCGCAGAGCAGCTGGACGCCATTTTCACCAGGAGCGGCAGGCCTACATCAGCTGATCCTGCCCCGACCAGGCAGGAGGCACCACTACCTGCTTCAGCACTTCCAGCCGGTGATGCAGAAGTGCGGGTGGAGAAGGAAGCTCCTGCTCCCAAGCCACAACCAGTGGTGAAGGAGCACGTACCCCAGCTTCCCTTCCCCACTCGCCTACATAAAGATAAGCTGGAGACTGAGTTTGCCAAGTTTATGGCAATGTTGAAGCAGCTCAACATCAGCGTACCATTTGTGGAGGCACTGTCGAAGATGCCCAAGTACGCTAAGTTCATGAAAGATCTCTACACCAACAAGAAGAAACTTGGGGATCTCTCGACAGTGCTGCTGAGCGAGGAGTGTTCTGCTGTCCTGCAGAACAAGCTGCCCGAAAAGCGCAAGGATCCAGGGAGTTTTACTATCCCTCTTACTATTGGCAGCATGCATATAGGAAAGTCCTTGGCGGACCTAGGCGCTAGCATTAATGTCATGCCATATAAATTGTTCAAAAAGCTAGACCTAGGTGAACTTAGCCCTACTAGGATGAGCATTCAGCTAGCTTATCGTTCCGTTGTGCATCCTAGGGGTATCATAGAGGATCTGCTTGTTAATGTTGGTGCATTCACATATCCTGTTGATTTTGTTATCCTGGACATAAATGATGATGTGGATGTGCCTTTGATTCTGGGTAGACCATTTCTTGCCACCGCCAAGGCATTGATTGATGTGCATGATGGTACACTGATTCTGCGTGCTGGGAATAAACAGGCTACTTTTTCTGTGACTGAGTTTGATCACTGTGCTATGATTGCTGTCACCCCTGTGCATGTTATTTCTGACCAGATACACGAGCCTGTCGTGTATCCTTCTGCACCTCTCATTTTGCAGGGCCCTCCTATCATTCCTTCGCCGCCACTCCATCCAGCCTCGCCTCCGAACAAAAAGCTCAAGGAGGAGTGGCGGCCGAGGCCGCAGGTGGCTAAGCCTGCACGGAAGAAAGGTGGAGACCACTACGAGCTGGTTCCACCCCCTGCACCACGACCACCCTGGCCATCCGAGTACTCACTCGCTTGCATCCTGCCGGATGGCCAGGTCGAGCTGACCAATGCCGGTGGTTGTACCCGTCGGGTGCATGGTCACCACCTGAAGCTGTACCTCAAGAGCGATGTGGATCCGCTCTTGGAGGTACCTGTTCCTGCACCTCCCTGAGTATCCGCCATGGGCGTCCAGCTAAAAGACGGTAAAGAAGCGCTTGTGGGGAGGCAACCCCGCCATGGTTTTCATTTATTTGTTTTGTTTCGAGTCGGATTGCGATTTGGTTTGGTTTTGGTTTATTTCCTTTGTTTTGGATGATGTCTTCTTGGGCTGACATTGGACCTAACATATTGTGTTTGAGCTCTTCTATTTCCCTTTAGCTGTGCTGTGTTCCCGACTGGTCCATTTCCAGTCTCCTGTAGTCCGTGCATACCGGTAACATCGTTCCCCTTTCCTTCCCTCTTCTCCATTGAGGGCAATGTCAATCTTAAGTGTGGGGGGGATGTTTATCTTTTGACTGCATTAGATCTGTTTGTGTGCTTAGAACCTAGTCCACTGTCCAAATTTTTAAATTTGAGGGCTCCAAGTACGTGTTCCTTGCAATTGCCTGCTCAGTATGCTTTGAATTGACAGTCTCTGTAGTGATTTGCAACCTAGGGAGGTAGTGTAGCACTATGGAGGATGTTGGTGCATTTAAGAAGTTTCATTTCTTCTTCATAGTGTGTTGGTTGATTGAGTGAATTAGTGATCTTAGGACCCTTGAATTGTGTGGTGTTGTGGACTCTCTGCCTGTCATGGACTCTTGTATCATGTTTTGAAAGTAACAGGTGCTCGAAATGTGCTTTAAAATAACGTCTCCCGTGCGAATAGGGCGAAAGTGTGTAAGGGGAGACGGGAATCCGTTCCCAATTTCCACCTACTACCTCCAGCCCCCTTACATGTCTTTCCCCGCATGAGGCTCGAGACAACTGCTCCTGGCATGGCCGGTAAGAGCCGGGGTCCCGCAAAACCTTTGCTAGGTGGGAGCCCCCGTTTTCTGCAAAAACGGGTTGGAACCCTTGAAAAAAGAAAAGAGAAAAACAGAAAAACAAGCAAAAAGAAGAAAGAAAGGGGTTCCAACCATCTTCAAGAGGAAAATCGAGCACCTTGAAAAAATGTGAGTCCATGATTCTTTGTTTTTGAGAGTCTCGTCATCCACGATTCATTTGTCCTCTGTTCACTATTTGCCATGATGCCGACTCGAGACTAGCGTT